TGACCTGATGACCACTGATCTCCTTAACTTGAAACCCTAATCTCGTGACCTTCAATTGATAAAAGTCCACAAGCTCAACCACGAATCAAAAAACCCTGATCTTCCTTGAATGCACACTGATGCAGAAATGACTTGAATTGTTCAAAGGAATCAAAACCCTAATCCATAACCTTTCTTAATTATACCAATTAAGGAACCTTGAGCATTTGAAACTCTTGAGAGATATCTTGCTTCAACTTGTCTAAAGTAGCCAGATAAATCACCTCTGAATAGGGAATGCTCAAACCACGAGAAAAATGCTTTGATCTATGTCTTAGGAGCTTTTGCAAATGCATGATTATGAATTCATGACCTAATGGATGATGCAGATGAATGTGAAACATAAGCCAAATACGGTTAAAACAAAAGGGCAAAATTTTGGCTGCTACACTACGTGGCGTAGGGAAGACCAGTACGTGGTCTTCACCCTGGTCCAACTGCCCCATGATCTTCGGAAGATGGAAGACTGGTTCTTAAGAACACGGATAGTTGTCTGATGATGTGTCCCCGCGTGGGGTACACGTGGAGAACATAGGGGAGACACGTAAGTCCTCCCCGTGCTAGGTAGTGGTCTTCCCGACTGTAGATTGTATTGGGGCGTGCTAGACGAGATGGAGGATGGGTCTTGCTGGGTCTCCCTAAGGTAGTATTGTATTGTACCTGCCCGACTGTGGGGCAGCTACTGGCCCAGTTCAGGAAAAAAAAAAAAAATATATATATATATATATATATATATATATATATATATATATATATATATATATATATATATATATATATATATATATATATATATATATATATATATATATATATATATATATATATATATATATATATATATATATATATATATATATATATATATATATATATATATATATATATATATATATATATATATATATATATATATATATATATATATATATATATATATATATATATATATATATATATATATATATATATATATATATATATATATATATATATATATATATATATATATATATATATATATATATATATATATATATATATATATATATATATATATATATATATATATATATATATATATATATATATATATATATATATATATATATATATATATATATATATATATATATATATATATATATATATATATATATATATATATATATATATATATATATATATATATATATATATATATATATATATATATATATATATATATATATATATATATATATATATATATATATATATATATATATATATATATATATATATATATATATATATATATATATATATATATATATATATATATATATATATATATATATATATATATATATATATATATATATATATATATATATATATATATATATATATATATATATATATATATATATATATATATATATATATATATATATATATATATATATATATATATATATATATATATATATATATATATATATATATATATATATATATATATATATATATAATCTATTTTTAATATTAAATTAACTTTAAAAATTAGTTATATATATATATATATATATATATATATATATATATATATATATATATATATAAAATTAATTTTTAAAGTTAATTTAATATTAAAAATAGATAATATAACTTCAATAAAAATACATAACAATTTAGTTTTGATATTATATTACGAAACACATTTAAAATTTAACATTAATTTAATTATAAGAAAAACAAAAACCTTGCTATCAAATTAGTGATAGGAAAATATCAGTGAAGGGAGATGTTAGAAAATAAAAAGGAATAAAATGTGTTTGTAAATCTTAATTATAGTAATCCATAAATGATACATAAGGAATAATTTTCATAGGTATATTAAAGTAATTATTTTATCTTGTAGGGGCAAGAGCCCCCTGTTTATAACACATGGATCCGCCCCTGCGTATAGGGTGGCACAATCTCACGCACTATCTTTTTTTAATCACAATATTTCTCAAACTCATTTGAGATATACTCACCTTCACCATCCGTTTTGAGAATTTTGAGTCTGTGACCACATTGCCACTCAACCATGGACTTAAACCTTTTGAAAACATCAAATACCTCATCCTTCCTCTTGATTAGGTATATCTATAGTTTCCTACTAAAATCATTCATAAATGTGACAAAATATCTATTTCCACCATACGAATCGACTTGCATTGGACCGCACACATCAGAATACACCACTTCAAGGTGATGTTTAGTCTTATGACCCACATCCTTGCTGAAATTACACGTGTGCATCTTCCCTTGCACACACTCTTCACATATCTCAGCTAGAATGTTGATTCTTGGCAACCCGGTTACCATACCATTACTTTGTAACGCGTCGAGATCACAAAAATTGAGATGTCCAAGACGGTAGTGCCATAACCACTCTTCTCGACTTGTCATTATAGCTAAACACCTATGCTTCATCACTTTCAAGTCCACCATGAAAGTCCTACTGGCAGCCATAGGAGCCTCAAGGATCAAAACACTATTTGCATCCACAACGTGCAAGATCTTATCTTCTAAGCGAATGTTGTAACCCCTCTCGAGCAATTGGCCAATACTCAAGAGATTACACTTAATTCTCGGAATATACAAGACATCCTTAATCATAGAATGTATACCATTCTTCTTCTTGATCAAAACATCACTGACACCTTCGGCCACAAGAGTGGTATTATTACAGCCTTAGACTTCATCTCGAACCATAATCATTATGTTTTGCTCCGAACGCGTTTCTGCAGCATTTTTCGAACTTCTGCAGTTGTTGTCCCACAACTTATAGTTGTTGCCCAACACCTCTTTAATGTCATAATTCTCCTCCGTGATTATAACCAAGAGCATATTTTCATCATCTACGTCTTGCCTCGCAACCTTTAGCTTCATCACTTTGATTTTCCCTTGGTCTCGCGCGACAATCTCTTGCAAAATGACCAAGTCTATGACAATTGTAACACTTCGACTTACTCTTGTCATACTTCATAAAGTTGTTGCCTTGACCAATATCTTTGGAGTTGCTCTCACCCTTTTGCACCATCGGAAATTTCAAAATTTGTGGATCATTTCCACCCAAATTCTGAGAATTTTGATTCCCTGTTGAAGCCCATTTTCCTTTCGATCTTCCACTCTTCTTGTTAAGCTATTCTTGCAAAGCAATGTCCGTTTTAGCTTTATCGCTTCCTCTCTCATCCATCCTTTGCTCATGAGCCTCAAGAGAGCTTTCAAGCTCATTTTTTCTCAACGTTGCAAGGTCTTTCGACTCTTCGATAGCCACTACAATGTTGTCGAATCTTAACATTAAAGAATGCAAAATCTTCGACACAACACTCTGCTCCAAAATAATTTCTCGACAAGACTTGATTTGATTCACCAAACGTGTAATACGTGTCACATAATCGTTGATTGTTTCCTTCACTTTCATTTGCGTTAACTCAAATTGCTTCTTGTGAGTTTGTAACCTCACCACCTTAGCTTTAACAATCCCTGTATAAGCCTTCTTGAAGATCTCCCAAGCTTGCTTTGTCGACTCGCAGTCGCCAACTTTCTCAAAGTTGTCATCATCGACGCAAGAATGAATCAAGAAGAGTGTCTTGTAATCTTTCTTCTTTTCTTCATTAAATGCAGTCATTTAAGCATCTGTAGCTTTATCCTCATGTGGTGTAACTCCATTATTGATGATCTCAAGAACTTTTTTATACTTAAATAGAACTTTCATTTGCTTGGACCACTTGTCATAATTCTTCGAATCAAGAATCAGAAGGATGGTGGGAATTCTATCGTTGAAAACGATACTCATTATTGCAGCGGAAATGGATTATAACCAGTTCTCTTGATGTCAAATGTTAAAACATACAAAATCTCTAATGGTGAATTAATGGAGAATTGAGTTAATATGGAGAAGATGAAGTTAAGAAATTGAGAGAGAAAAATAGAGAGAGTAATTGAGGTTGAGAAGAATAATTGGCATTAACTATAATTGGGAGCATACAAGGTCTTATATACATCAAGTACAAAATAATTGGAAATAACATAAACATCTTATCCAAATAAGCTGAAACTAAGAAAACTGGAAAAAAAAAACTAGAAAAAACCTTCGTAACCGGTTACATAAAATGCCAATAACCAATTACGAACTCGATACCAACAAATCTTCAGCTTTTTTAACGTCGTAACCGGTTACGCCAAGACCCGTAGCCGGTTACCACTACGGAAATGCCAAAAACTGGTTTTCAACACAAGTATATGTGAATGAAAGAACTTTCGTGTGAGGAGAAGCATAATGGATTGACTCACACTTCAGGGAGAGATGGTTGTGTACAAGTGTGAATTGAAAGTCTCACATTGCTTTGAAAGTGGAGGTTGAACACTTTATAAGTGAGATCACTCATACATCTATCACTTTAAAATTTTGAATAAATATATAATATCTTTCTCACTTGTGTACTACTCTTAACCTAATATAAATATTCCTCGTGATGACATCACCCAACATGTCGTGTTTAATAACATTTCTATCTACTACTTTTCTTTACAAGTTCTTAAGCCTGCCTTTCAATAAATCATCAAGCTTTATTGAGATTTCCTATGGTAAAGTGGGGAAGAAACTAGGAAGATTAATTTAGTGTGTTGGTCTAGAGTCTATTTAAAAAAAAATCCTTGTGGTCAAATTCAAATTATATTCTACTTTTCAACTAAAACCCAATTCAAATTCAAATTGATGATTCAAAATTGGAGACATAGTGGACCCAATTTAACTCAAGAACACATAATCATTCTTGAAGATAAGTAACTAATAGCCAATTTTGAAAATGAAAATCAGATTTCCAATAACACAAATAAAAACCTCAAGCAAATTAAACTATTAAGTAACTGGTAGCTTTTTTATTTATTTATATTTTTCTATATGCAGATACTTTCATATATGATCAAAAGATACATAAGATTGAAGGGTCGCAACAACACTCGTCTATGAGACAACAACAACACAGAGCTGCAAAACTGAAACACATAAAAACAAAGAAAAATTAATAAAAGCTGAACAAAACAAAATTAATATATAATTTTTTAATTTCTTTTGACGATGGAAAAGAAGAAAAAAATATGATTCTATTTATTTAAACTGACCATCCCTCAAGGAATCCAGCACTCTGTCTTCTGGGCTGTGGAGCAGCATACTGAGGTGGTGCCATCACTGGGGGACCTTGATAATACCCTGCCAACAATAAACTTCCCCACAAATTAAGAACATGGTTTATTTATTTTATTTTTTATGAAATAATAAAATATTTATACAGAAAATAATAAATTACGGAGTAGTTTTCTCCACCATCAATAAACCATATCATATATTTCATCAAAAAATAAATAAATCATATCATATGAAGAAAAAAAGAAAATAGAAATATTGGTTTTAGAGGATATTGAAACCTTAAATCATGGTATATATTATAAGAATCTGGTATTTAATATTTTTATCATATGATATATGTAAGTAGCTATAAGATCTAATATGTGTATGAAGAGAAGAAAGATGATAAAATTACCTTGTGCAGGGTATGGATAGGCATACTTTGGGTCATTCATTTCTGAAAATTTTGGGTCAAAACAGAATATGATACACAATTTCTATGCTTAATTGCAAATATGTAGTGAGGAGAAAAGAGTTAGTTTTTGACTAGTGAGTTTTGTTTTGATTTTTTACGCATATAACCCCTACCTTAGTAATATATATGTGATTTTTTTGGCAACTAAGGACTTTCTAGAATAAAGACTTTCCGGTGAACAAATAGGAACTTCTATTTCTACTACAAATTTATATCAAGGACAAACCAGGAAGCTCTTATAAAGGAGAATATGTTGATGAAAAAATTGTGGGGCACAGTATTAGGTTTGAGAAAAGTAAGGAGTACTTAAAAAACACATCAATGTAACACTTAGGAATGATTAATATATTTTTTTATAAATTGACCAATGATAATATTTTTTATAGCATGGATGGAGATTGAAATCTCAATTTTCTTATAACATCACACCTTAATCATTAATTTATTATTGGTTAATATTTTTTAGTTTTTTTATTGTAATCTACCTATTCATTTTGATAACTTACTTTAAAAAATATCTATATTATTCTTTTAACTCTTTAAAATATATTATGATAATCTTTTCTATTAAAATAATGACTAATTTGGCAATAAAAAATTATATCTTTAAAACATGACTAACTTAAATGTTTGAAGTGTTAATTTTATAAATTTTTCGTCCTCCTTCGTCGCATCACAAACTCTTACCGCCACCCCGCACCAAAAAGTTTGTTTTATTTAGAGCACATTTTTTTCCCACCATAGAGCAATACATTTAAAATAAATTATATTTTTATGCAACAAAAAATCAACACATATGTTATGAATTGATGTTATTAAGAACAAATCAAAATATAAAAAAAAATTGAGTTTTTTGAACAAACACAAGAAATCCTATTAGGTTTTTCAAAAGGTAGAGAAGAAGAAAAAAGAAGAAGAATTGGTTAAAACTATTTTACTATTCACTTATTCAATAAGAGTTCAAAGATTACCGTGAATATCAAAAATTAATATCTTTCAACAACCTGAAAGAAGTAGTCTATTTATAGACTACTAAGTTATCTTAGACTACAAGTTAACTTAACAATTAGCCTTACAAGTAAAATCCAATTCGACATGCTAATTTAAACACAAAGCTAACATATTTCGACAGCAAGCTTGAATAGACTTCGACTCCAGCATGCATAACTCCTGTTAAACCATGAAACTACCCTTATTGAAACTAGAGTTCGATCTAAAATACCACAAATCTCCACCTTGGAACAAACTCTATACTAACAATGGAACAAACTATTTTTTTTATCATACAATTTTATCAACTGCATACAGTGGAAAAACATACTACTCAAAAATGTCTTGGTGATCATATCAGCAACATTGTCATCAGTCGAAATCTTTAGCACTTGGACTTCTCCACGCTCGATTATCTCTATGACGAGATCTGAAGTAAACACAGTGATCAAACTAGTTCTTAGTGAAACCAATGTGTTCCATAAACTTGTCGAACTCCTATTCTATTGTCGAGGAGATTATTTCAGTCCATGCAAAGAATTATTCAGCTTGCACACATAATTTTTCTTTTCCTTTTTTGCATACCCTTCAGGTTGCCTCATCAGGATTATTTCATCTAGATCGCCATACAAGAAGGTTGTCTTCATATCCATCTGTTCAAGTTCTAGGTCAAACTTTGCCACCATGGATTACAACATTCTAATTGATTTATGCTTCACAACAGGTGAGAACACATCATTGAAGTCAACACCATCTTTTTGAGTGAACCCTCTAACAACCATACTTGTCTTAAAACGCTTCGACATCACTCATTCAATTTCTTCTTTAACCTTGAAGATCCACTTACAACTGACTAACCTAGCCCCTGCATGTTTCTCGATCAGCTCCCAAGTGTTATTATCATGAAAAGATTTCATCTCATCATCCATGACTTTCAGTCTTTTAGTCTTGTCTTGACTCCTCATAACTTTTTTATAGTCTCTAGGTTCTTCGTCCTGAACCTCGCTTTTAGAGATTAAGGCATAAGCTATAAGATATGCATAACCAAGTATCTGAGGTGGCTTGATGACTCTTTTCGACCTGTCTATTGCCAACAGGTAGTCGTTATCAGTCTACTCATCTTCGTCAGCAACTTGAGATTCTTCTTTGACTTCATCCGGGTTATACAATTCAACATCATTATGTTCCACCTCAACATAAATCTCTTCCTGTTCCAGCTTTTCTTCAGGGATCTTCGAACTTCGACCAATGTCACCATTTTTCTTGAAAGTCATCTCAGCTTCATTGAAAACTACATCTTGACTTGTGATACACCTCCTGTGACCTGGCTTTATGCACCACAGTCAATAAGCTTTTACTCCTTCTGGATATCCAAGGAACATACATCTCAGAGCTCTAGGTTTGACCTTGTCTTGCCTAATATTAGCATAGGCTAAACAACCAAATACCTTAAGTCTGTCAAGACTAGGTGGATGTACCGACTAGACTTCTTCAGGTGTCTTCATTCCCAGGGTTATCGAAGGACACATATTTATCAAGTATGTTGTAGTCACAACAACTTCTATCCAAAGCACCTTCAATCTCACACTTACTAACATGTACCTCGCCTTTTTCGGAATGGTTTGATTAAACCTTTCATCTAAACCATTTTTTGGGAGTCCCTGCAGTAGTTCAGTGTCTTGCAATATCACACATATCACAATAACTGTCAAAAACCTCATTGTAAAATTCAATACTATTGTCGGTCTCCAACCTCTTGACCTTCCTTCCAGTTTGGTTTTCGACCAGAGTCTTCCAACTTTTGAAAATTTCAAAAGTTTCATCCTTATTCTTCTGGATGAATATCCATAACTTTCTGTAGTAACCATCAATTATGAATAGTAAATACTTTTCACCTGAGTATGAAGGATTCCTTGCAGGTCCCTAAAGATCAGCATGAATATAATCAAGGGATCCATGTATTCTTTGTTTATCTTTGTTAAACATCACTCTACAGGATTTACCAAATACGCAAGGTTCACAAAACTCCAGTTTTCTACCTTATCACCACCCAACATATTTTATTTCGACAATTCAACCAGGCCTCTTTCACTGACATGGCCAAGTCTCTTGTACCATAGCTCATTCTTCGGCACAGGTTTTGTGGATGCCACATCCATTGAACCACTTACAACCACAGCCTCAACGATATACAAGCCTTGTTTCTTCACTCCTCTCAAGACTTCGTTTGACTCCTTCATTATCCTTAGAATGTTTTTCTCTCCTTTGAAAATATATCCTTTCTTGTCAAATTCACAAAGAGAAATTAAATTCTTCTTAACATCAAGTACATACCTAACATCAATCAATAACCTTATTGACTCATCATGGAGCTTGAATCTCACAGATCCAATACCTACAATTTTGCAAGCTTTGTTGTTTCTTAGCAGCATAAATCCACAATCTTGATCACACAATTTTTCAAAACATATCTTTGTTTGGAGTCATGTGTCAAGTACAACTTGAATCCATAATCCACTCCTTGCTAGAGTCACTGTTTGAAACCACCAAGACATCAGATGATTCATAACCATCTTGCTTGTACAATGGTTGCATTACCATTATCCTTTCCACCATGATTGTTTAGTCGATTAGGGCATACTTTTCTTGTATGACCCTCCTTCTTACAATGATAACACTTAATAGTAGAAGCATTACCACCATAAGAATTTTGTACAACTTTACCCTTCTTCTTTTCAAACTTACCATCTTTCTTCAAGAATTTCCCTTTAACGAACAAACATTCACCAATAGAAGATTGTTTGTGCTCCTTCCGTTAGTTCAAATCCTTAGAGTACAAGGAAGATTGAACATCTTCAAAGGTCAACGACTCTCTTCCATACAAGAGAGTTTCTTTGAAGTGAGCATGAGACTTAGGTAAAGAGCATAACAACAACAACTCTTGATCTTCATCATCAATCTTGACCTCAATATTTTCAAGATCAAGAATTAACTTGTTGAACATATCCAGCTGCTCAGCCAAGGCTTTGTCTTTACTCATCTTGAATGAATATAAGGCCTGCTTCAGGTAGAGACGATTAACCGACGATCTTGTCATGTAAAAACCTTCAAGTTTCATCCACACGCCCGCTATAGTTTTCTCCTTTGAAACATGTCGGAGAATCTTATCGCCAAGGCTCAATACAATGACACTGTGGGCTTTTTCGATCATCGTTCTCTTCTTCTCCGATAGGACATCGCCCATTTTCTCTAATCCTTTTAACGTTTCTAACAAACCCTGTTAAAGAAGAAGGACTTGCATCTTCATGTGCCACAAACTGAAATCATTCACACCGGGAAATTTCTCTATCTTATACTTTGTTGACGACATCTTCTTTTTCACGTTTACCGCACCAATTTGTTGTAAATTGATGTGGTAAAAAAACAAACCAAAATATGAGAAAAAAATTGAGTTTCTTGGAAAGATAGATAAGAAGAAAAAAGAAGAAGAATTGATTAAAACTATTTTACTATTCACTTACTCAATAAGAGTTCAAAGATTACAAGTAAATATCAATAATTAACATCTCTCAACAACCTAAGAGAACTAGTCTATTTATAGACTACTAAACTAACTTAGACTACAACCTGACTTAACAATTGAGTTTACAAACAAAATCCAATTCGACATGCTAATTTAAATACAAAACTAATATATTTCAACAGTATGTTTGAGCAGACTTAGACTCCAACAAACACAACTCATATCAAACTATAAAATTACTCTTATCGACACTACGGTTCGATCCAAAATACTACAAAATACTTTAATTTTTTTTGTTAAATGACCATTAAATATTGCTTGTGAAACACCCATACATATCTACTAATTCATGAATTAACTTTGTTTTCTCAAACATTAAATAGATCAATGCTGAAATGGGAGTTGTGTCACTCGAATGGATAAACGTGGTATTTACTCCGCCAACCTTTTTATCACATATATACACC